AAGCTTAGTTAGATTTATTATTTTAGGCACGCAATCTGCTTATGAGGGTTGTCCTTCGCGTCGACAGCCTAGTATCTTATAATAGACGTTAAAGATACGTATAGCGCGTCGGACTAGGAGATTCGCATCTTATTTAAGAGCTTAAAGCGTAAGCTGTATTTAACGTTTACGAGAAGATTGTAAGTGCTGTAGTTGTTGTAACATTGGTAGGTAGTAGTGGTTTTGGTGGGGGCTTGGCAAAACTGTGACACGAACCCGTGTGTGACACGAACCCGTGAGGTACGTTAACGAGTAAAGGAACACTAAAAAATAGAGTAGAAGGGGTAGAGGTATAGCTACACTAGTAGTAGGAGCTACCTTAATACTAAATATAAGCTTAGATAGAGAGGATTCTATTTTATATTAAAGAAATAATTCGACTTAATGGTAGAAATGAGTATAAGGAGGGGCGGTGGGACAGATCTGATTAGCTCTGGTAGTACTTCGGTAGTAATACAGATTATCCCTGTCAGCAATAACTTTTGAAAGCCACCTCTGTACTGTGGGTGTACATCAGCTCAGCTCTTTGTTCTACTCGGCACTACAAATAGTTCCCATAGCAATATTATCAGATATTCAGAAAAAGAGACGAACAAAACATGACTCATTGATTTCCAACAAATAGATCGCTTGTGCTGGGTTCAGCTAGTAACAGCCAATCTTGGTTAAGGTCCATATCTGAAAGGTACTGCCACTGTTGATTGTATCGCATGGGTTGCATTCCAAGTCCAAGGTCAACATCCGACATTTCAGTGAAAGTATTTCCATTCTCCTCGTGCTCCAAACCTTGGGACAACAGGTTAAACGCATGCTCCGACAGCTCTGGTATAGTTCTAGATGCATCCCAACCAGAAAACTCTGAGATTGTCATTGTGTTCCTCGCATGTACGGCATTGGAACCATTCGACGCACTTCCTAAGACGCTTGTAGAAGTCATGTTGTTGGAAGGGTGGCTGTGATGTACTGTCGTTGCCTTGGTTGGGGTTGTCGTGTTGTTAGAGGAACTGATGAAACCAAATTTTGTGCCTGGTTGAGCTAGGATCTCGCCGAAGAACGGAACTACGAGGCGATATTTACATCCTGGACGAATGGGATCAGTGGGGTCTCGCGCACCAGACAACGCGCGCAAGACTTCTAGGCATTGTCTGATGACTTTACTATCGTGACTTTCCGCTCTACCGTTCAATATGCTGATGGTTGTTTCAATGAATCCCCAATCTTGCTCGTCTTGATTACTTGTTCTTCTAGAACTCTCATTCCCCATTCGAAATTTGGGACAGCCAAGTAGGGTAAGAATTATCAGCATTGCTGCTGAAAAGCCCATAAAGTCTACAAGTGTATTTTCGAATAAAGACTGTTGAGACAGGAATTGATAGAGCCTTAGCAGCTCCCTTGAGGACTCGAGACAAGCTATCCGACTCATCTCGTACATGTGAGGAGGTATAGTTTGAGTAGAACCTGAGCCAAGCATCAATGGCAGATACAGATATGTCCGCAATTGTTGTATGCGTATCTGGATCAGAATCTTATCTTGTTCGATATCAGGTAACAACAGTTGCGCTGACTCTGAATGTTCCGATTGTGATATTTTCCATGTCGTTGGCATGGCAAGAATCAGAGCTTGGAGCTGCTGGTCGAGTTCAAGGACTAGTGATAGCGACGGCTCCCGTTGATCTTGTGTTCCAATCAAGAACTTACTGCAAATAGCGCCCATTTCAGATTTAAAGAACCTGATATCTTCTCTTGCGTATTCAATGCTGCAATGAAAGTATATGCCACGCGCTGTCCCCAGCAGAAGGCTCAGAAATTGATTCTCGTAATGCAGGAGTAGCATTATCCCACTTGCTATCGGTGAAGAGCTTCGGCGGTGTAAACCCTGTACAATGTTAAAAAGGAATACTGACATTATAATCTTACAGAAACTCACAATTAGTTGAGCAGATGCCAATCCTCTCTGAATGGCTAACCAAGCTCGCCTTGGTTGCCCAATGCTGCAATAGTAGTCTGAGAGTAGAAGGGAGCACTCTATTCCGGATAATGTGGTAGTATAGTCGTCATCAGATGTTATCAAAGTTGCAACTAGAGGGATCAGATTCTGTGAGCCCTTTCGATCTGATCCAGTGCCTAGTAGCAAGATGAGCGTGCCAAGATCAGACGGTGCCCCATTATGGATAATATTCTTAGCCCAATTTGCAAAAGATTCGTTTGGAGGATGGGCCAAGATACGGGAGCGCCAGATCATCCATCGTTGTTCGTTTTTCTGAAGCGCATCATCTAGCCTCTCGCCAGAATCTAAGCATTCTAACAACTTTTCCCGGGTATATTGGTCTTTCGAAGTCCTCAGATTAACCCAGGCTTTGTCGCTAGCATCCCCTGGAGTTCCTTCGCCACAAGACCCATTTTCTGTTGTTTCAACAAAGCTACTAGTGGTTGATGGACCACTAGAGTGAGAATTTGTATGAACTGTGGGCTGGTCATTCACAGGAGCAATCTGCAAAATTTTAGCACAGACACAAAGGGATTCGATATGTTTTGGGTACGCACTACATCATTATCAAACAATCGCATATGAGGGGGTAGATTGGCTACTGGTGAATTGTCGGCTGGCACAGGGGTGGGATACTCGACATCATCAATGTAAGGCTGAGACTGATTTGCGGATGGATCGGTCCCCCGTTCTGCAAGAAGGGTCTGGATAATCGCCTCTAGCTCTGAAATTCGCTCTCGCATGCTCTTTGTTTTCTGGGCTGACGTGTTTCCACTGTTGGGACATTGTTCAACGCAGCTGCTCCCTCGAAAATGACATTCTTTACACCTTTCTTGGCCAGCAATAGAAATGCATTTCACCTTGCGCCTTCTGCCTGTTGTCAAGCAGGTCTCAGTCGCTTTAGCTAATAATGACAAAGGCAGCGAAACTTACACTCAGAGCAGCTGTGGGTTCCTCTTCGCATCTTCTGCTTTAAAGTTCGGTCTCGGATGTGCCTTTCGGTCGAAGGAGTGGTCATGTTTTCTTTTTGACTTTGTGCTTATCGCAGTAGGCTCGGATGAGCCGATTGGGTTCTACGGAAGGATTTGGTTGGAGGAAAGGATAGGGACGGGAAGTAGTGGGTGAGTTTCTCAGGGGGCGAATGCGGTTTCCTTGACTGGGACCGGCATTCGTCCGAAATGTTCGGAGTTGGATCAACACGCTAGTACTAGGCTGGACTCACTGGCGCATCTGGGCTCTCGGTCGATCGGAAAAAGTCGGAAATAAAATTGCCTAACACTAACGGTATGAAGCTGTCAGAATACGGGTATATCTTAGGTGGTGGACAGAATCCGGGTGTTCTCGAGTACCCGGATTCTGTGATCTCAGCCAATCAGGGCTGATCGCC